TATACCCTGCCACTTTGCTGAATCTTCCAATGAGGTCTAGTAGCTTTTTTACTGAGTCTTTGGGGTTTTCTACATATAGAATCATATCGTCTGCAAATAGGGAGAGTTTTACTTCCTCTTTTCCAATTTGGATGCCTTTAATTTCCCTGTCTTGCCGTATAGCTCTTGCTAAGACTTCCAGCACAATATTGAATAGGAACAGTGACAGAGGGCCTTCATGCTATTTTTGCAGTAACATATTTTGTTTATCCACTCGTATGGTGCTGTAGGATCAGCACTGGACTCAGAACCAAAAGGTCTGCAGTTCAAACTCACCAGCTGCTCCTCAGAACTGACTCAATGGCATTTAACGACAACAATAATTCATCACTTGATGAACATTTAAGCTAGTTTCACCATTGGGCTAGTATGAATAATGTTCATTTTAAAGTTTGTTCTGTGTACTAAATTGGCATTTTCTCATTATAGGTTAGTATTGCTTGTTCAAGAATTTTATAAAAATGGAATTATACAATATATGGTCTTTGTGTCAGATGTCTTTCTCTCAGAATAATGTTTGTGGTTTGTGTGTGTGTGTGTGTGTGCGTGTGTATGGTGTAAATATATACCTGAAAACATTAGCCAAATCACCAGTTTCTACATGCACAGTTCAGGAACATTGATTACACTCTTCATGTTTCAGCATAATGTTTTAATGTTGTTTATGTTAGTAGTTCATTCTGTTTTATTACTGAGTAGTATTCTGCTGTATAAATATACACACAGTTTATTTGCTGATGAATACAGAAAGTTTTCAGTTTTGAGCTTCTACAGTATAGCTTCTATGAATATTTGTATAGATACATTTTCATTTATCTTGGGTAAATATCTAGGAGTGGAATTTTGAGGTTGTATGGTAGATGTTTGTTTAACTTTAAAAGGAACTGCCAAACTCTTTTCCCAAGTGGCTGTACCATTTTACATGCTGATCAGCAATGTATGAGAGCTCCACTTCTGTCGCAAGCTTTCTGTGTGAGTTCTCTAGTGTTGCTAAAACAGAAATACCACAAGTGGATGGTTTTAGCAAACAAATTGATTTGCTCACAGTTTAGGAAAGTAGAAGTTCAAATGCAGAGTGCCAGCCCTTGGGGAAGATTTTTCTTTCTTTGTCGGTTCTGGGGAAAAGTCCTTGTCTCCCTTCTGCATCTGTAGGTCCAGCATTCCTTGCAGTTCTCCATGTGTCTTGATATCAATCTTCACCTGGATCTAGATGCTTCACAATGCAAGGGACCCTAGGTCCATTCCTGGGATCCCAGGTGCAATCCAGAGCATTCCACTCCTGGCTCTCCTTTCTCAATGGTTGGAGGTCACTCTCCTTTCTCAATGGTCAGAGGTCCCTGTCCTCTGCTCCTTTCTCTCCCCTTTTGTCTCTTGTAAAACAAAAGGTGTTGTAGACCACACCCATGGGTAACTCCTTTACATTGGATTAGGGTTGTGATGGGTTGAAGGGGATTTCAGCCCACTCACATCAGTTCACATCATAGGAGGATCATCACATAATTGCCAAACCACTGAGAATCATGGCTCAGCCAAACTGACACACATGTGGGGGGACATGTTCAATCCATGCCACTTCCTAACAATTAATAATCGCAAATGTTTAAAGTGTAGACATAGGGGTATAGTAGTATTTCATTATAGTTTTAATTTGAACTTGTCTAATGATTTTGAGCATCTGTTCATTCTATGCCTGTTTTTTAAAAAAATTTGAAGAAATGCTAAACTTAAGGTCGTAGCCTGTACCTGTGGAGTCATCTGATTCTACAAGTCTTAGAACCATAACAGCACAGCCGTTTCACATTGGTATAAATGTATACAATTTCTAGTGCCCTGAGGATGGATACTGGACACACAGTTCCTGACAGATGGTAGTTTCAGTAAACATCGGCTGAGTTATTGTCCAATGGAATGCTAAAAGACAATAGTCACCATAATTGAGGGTAGGAAGGGTTGTTTTAAATTTTTTTTTTTAAGTTTTTATTGTGAATTGAGTGATAGTTTACATGGGAGAACATCGGTTTTACACTCATTGTTTCATTGATGCATCTCCTCTGCGCATCATCATTCAACAGTATTTGCTTCTATTCTCTCTGGTTTCTTTGGGGGGTGGGGGGAGTGTATAAAAAAACAAAGGAATATATAGTAATTTAAACAACCAAAGGGCACATTCTGCAAGCCTGCCTCCTGGCTGCCAGCATTCTTTCTCTTTCCATGAGTCTAGAGTCCTCAGCAGCTCTCTTTCTCCATGTCCTTATCTCGGCCTTCCTCTCTGGTGTTGCTGCTTCTCTGGGTAGGGTCCCACATTCCGCTCATGCTCTTCTCCCTTGCTAGTGTCCTGGGATCCTCTGTTCCTGGACTTTAAGATTAACTACTCCCCCCTTTTTGTTACCGAACTTCTACCTTTACAATTGTGACAGTTGCAATTAGTCATAACAGTTACTCACTATTGAATCATAAGAATCTTATCCCCCTCTCTTTTCACCAGACCCATCTAGACAAGATGAAAACGATTCAGTGGGGACTCTACCTTGCCCTGCACACTCTGAAACTAAACTCCCCCTTGAAAACTTGTAAGCCGGTTACTTCGTGCCTTTCTCGTCCCCTCATTTTAGGTAGCCAATGTCTAACTTTCCTGTCCCGATCTACGCTGTGTACAGAGGGGTAGGATTGATACTTGTGAAGACACCTTCCCTCTCAGTTGGCATTTTGAGCTACTACATCCGTAAGTATGGGTCAAGTTCATCAAATTGTAGCAAATTACACTTGTTTCCTTTATCAAAAAATGTTTTTATTTATCTTCCTCTAGTCAAGTTCTGATCATCAAGCCATCAAGGCTAGGTCAAATGGGTACTATCTGCAAGTTTGGACATTTTTGTGTGTCTCCCCTCACTTCATATCAGCTAGTTGCTTCACTCTCAGCTCTAGCCCTCTGTGGCTATGTCCTTGTCCATGGGCTCAGGAATCCCCAGGTCTCACCACACTTCAGACCAACCAGCCCTAGTAGGAAGTGTTTTGAAGAAGGAAATTTATCTGGTTTAATTAGAATATTTCAATATCTCTGATTTGATTAGGCAGTTGAAGCTCCTAGGGTAAAATATTGTTTAAGATTATTTTTAATTATTATTATTAATAATAAGATGTTGAGGATAATGACAGCATTCTTAAAAATGGAAGACTAGAAAGACTCCTGTATAAAGCAGATTTTAAAATATATATAGGGTTACTTTCTTCAACTGCAAAATTTAAAAATTAGTGAATCTGAGTCCTCTTTCAGACCTAGTCAGTGCTCAATATTTTGAACTGTCCTAAGATAATTAGATAGTTATTTCATGTGATTAAGTTACTTAGATGTAATAGCACAATTTCAGAGGAAAAAGAATATCCCTGTCAGTACTGAAAAGGAAATCTAATTCTGAGATTTCGTTTTATCTCTACTTAAGATAATTAAGTGAATTGAACCTCTTGATTTTCTAGCTGTGATGGTGAAATAAGCTTGAATTCCTCTTCCCCTAATATTTTATTTGAAAAATTTCAAACATATAGCAAAGTTGAAAGAATGTTACGATGAACAGTCAAATCCCCATCACCTAGATTTTACAATTAGCATTTTTTCTCTACTTATTTTTTTTTTTCCAACGGGAAACGTCATTGCTTTAATTCTGCTTAGTGTCTGCCACACTGGGGCAGATGGCCCACCTGTCCGACTCAGTGGCAGAATTAGATTTATCACCCACAACTGTCAACGTGACCGTTTACAAAAATAAATACGAAAAAAGCAGCGACTCTTTTAGTGATCACAGAGTTCATTGGACAGCGATTATCCAAGTGTAAGCGTCTGGCGGATCTCTTAAATCGCACCAAAAGATTTTGGAAGCACTGAGTTTGCTCTCATTGGCAAAGAGGGAGGGCAAGGAGGGGCCAGACCAGCTGGGGAGCGGCTGCAGGCGGCCTCCCCGGGACTCAAATTTCAGAGTCGGCATACTTGCGGTTGATTACATAGTCCACCTGTGTGTAGTCCTTCTTCTTGTAGCTCTCATAGGCTTGCAGGGCAAATAAAATCAGGACGGTGATGAACAGGATCACACCGAGGAGCAGCACCGTCAGGAGAAAGCTCAGGGACGGGGCAATGGGCTCAGCAGTGACCACCAGGCCCTGGGTGCTGAGCTGACATGCGTCTGTGGCCGGTAGTTTGGAGGCCCCGAGTGTTGGCCCAGTTGGAGCAGTACCCGGCCTGGCTTCTGTCCCCACTGACCCCAGGTTCTGGGTGGAGGCTGGTTCTGTGGACCCCTAGGTAGATGGTGTGAGATTTGGCTGCATCTGGGTTGTAGGGGCTGGGCTGGTGTGAGGTGCTGGCGCTGTGTTGGCGGTGGGCTCCTCCACGTGTGCCTTGGTGGTGGCTGCTGTTCTTCTGGGCACTGAAGACACAGAGTGGGTGTGGACTGACCTGCTGTGGTGGCCGTAAGCTGACCTGTTGACGCCCGGGGGGTGGGACCTTGTGCAGTTGTGTTCTGGGTCTGTGGGCTCGTGGGGGGTCTGAGGTCTGCTGTGGAGTTGCCCGTCACGGCTTTGGAAGGACTGTGTGTGCTGACTGGACCGCTTGCATTTGGCGTGGCCATTGTCTTACCACTCGGGGCTTGCGTCGTCACGACTGTTGTTCCTGGCGACTTGCTGCTCCCTGGCACGTGTGCGTGGGGTGTGCTGGGAGGTGGGTGCCTGGTGTCCAAAGCGGGAAGAGTCCTCGTGGCAGACGTGGGGAAGGACAATGCGGGCCCCATGGAGGCACTGGGGGTCGGGACTTCGGTCACAGCTGCCATAGTTGTTGCCACGCCCACCGCTGCCTTGTCTGTTGTCTCTGTCGTGACTGCAGTAGAGTTGGTGGTGGCCACTGGAGCCCCTTTGGTTAGTGTGATAGGAGGCGGCATCACTGTGGTTATTTTTTCAGACGTCTTGTTTCCAACCCGTGTAGTAGTTCCCACAGGTGGGCTATTCTTGACTGACTGGCTCGCCATCTCGTTCGGGACTAGGTTCCCTGAAGAAGCTGGTGCCACCTGGATTTCAGAGGAGGACGTGCAGAAAACCCAGACGAGCACGAGGGCTGTCCACATCTTGAGGGCAAGTTGGGAGCAGCTCACAATTCCCTTCTGCTTGGCTAAGGGGTCAGAGGAAGCTGCTCAGGCCGTGCTCCAGAGCCAGCTTGTCTTCTTCCTTGGAGCACAGTGAGCTTGGCACAGTGTGAGGTTGGGCTTTGTGGCCATGGCACCCCTTGTGTCACAGGGGGGACACAGGCAGGCGCTCCACTCCTGTATCAGACATATCCGGGTGCAGCAGGCCTGCAGCGGCCCCGGCGGCCCTTGGATGTTTAGGAAGCACTGCAACCCCGGCGCTGGGATATGACGGGTAGTGGGGAGGTACCGTAGGGAGCCAGGGCTGCTCCTGGTGGCGGCCTCAGCATCGATGCTGCCACTTGGCCAATCCATTTCGTTGGGGTCTTCCTCTTTTTCTCTGACCCTCCACCTTACCAAACATTCAGATTCATAATAGCAACATGAAAACCTCCACTGACAAATTAATGGTAGCCGTGTGTGAGGTACATTGGTCAGGGATCAAACTAAGGTCTCCCTCATGAAAGATCCACTATACCACAGCTTCCACTCTTATCACCATGGTTCCCTATAATCCAGGTATCGTTGTTGTTGTTAAGTGCCGTCGAGTTGGTTCTGACCCATAGCAACCCTGTATAGGATTTCCAAGGAGTGGCTGATGAGCTTGAACCACCGACCTTGCACTTCAAACTGACCTTGCAGTCCAGCACATTAACCCACAACATCACATGGTAAACAATATACAATTCAATGGTTTTTATAGAAATGTACATTCACGAAACCACCAACCCAATCAAGGTAGAAAATGTAATCAGGACCCCAGTGGTTTCATGGTATCTACAATGAGCTCTGGTAGCGTAGTGGTTACGAATCGGGCTGCGAACCGCAAGGTTGGCAGTTCGAAACTACCAGCAGTTCTGCTGGAGAAAGATGAAGTTTTCTGCTCCCGTAAAGATTTACAGCCTCAGAAACCCTGTACAGGGTCGCTATGAGTCGGAACTGACTCCACGGCACATAACAACAACAACAACAGCAACAAGGGTGCATGGAGTGTATTGTATTCATAACAACAACAACAACAACAACAGAAGCCTCACCAGTCAGTTTGCCCTTCTGTCATGACTTGTGTGTTGCTGTGATGCAAATGCTTTGCCATTTTAAATACCAGTAAAGTCAACCATGGAGTCCTGGTGTGGCACTGTGGGTTAATGCACTAGACTGTAAAGTCAGTTTGAACTGGTCAGTGGTTCAAGCTCACTATCTGCGACTCAGAAATTTTATACAGGGTCGCTATGGGTTGGAACCAACTTGAAAACACTTAACAACAAGGTCAACCATGATTGACAGGAATCAGCAGAGCTTCCAGACTAAGAAAGACTAAGATAAAAAAAAAGGCAGATCACTTCTGAAAGGTCAGTCATGGAACATTGTCTGATATGGTGCCAGAAGAGGAGTCCCTCAGGTTGGAAGGCACTCAAAATATGACAGGGAAGAACTGCCTCCTCAAAGTAGAGTTGACCTTGATGACATGGATGAAGCAAACCTTTCAAACCTTCATTTGCTGATGGGGCACAACTCAAAATGAGAAGAAAGAGCTGTAATCATCCATTAATAATCGGGACATGTAATTAATGTACGAAGGATGAATGTAGGAAAATTGGAAATTGTGAAAAATGAAATGGAACACATTAAGATCAATATCTTAGGTGTTGTTGTTAGGTGCCATCAAGTTGGTACCGACTCACAGTGACCTTATGCACAGCAGAACGAAACACTGCCCTATCCTGGGCCAACCTCACTATTGTTGCCACGCTTGAGCCCATTGATGCTGCCACTTTGCCAATCCATCTTCCTCTTTTTCTCTGTCCCTCCACCTTGCCAAACATGATATCCTTCTCCAGAAACTGGTCCCTCCTGACAATATGTCCAAAATATGAGAGACGAAGTTTGGCCATCCTGGCCTCCAAGGAGCACTCTGGCTGCACTTCTTCCAACACAGATCTGTTGGTTCTTTGGCAGCCCACGACACTTTCAATATTCTCCTCCAACACCATAACTCAAAAGCATCAATTCTTCTACGGTCTTCCTTATTCACTGTCCAGCTTTCACATGCATATAAGGTTACTGAAAATACCATGGCTTGGGTCAGGTGCACCTTAGTTTTCAAGCTGACATCTTTGCTCTTCAATACTTTAAAAAGGTCTTGTGAAGCAGATTTGCCTAATGCAATATGTTGTTTGATTTCTTGACTGCTGCGTCCATGAATATTGATAGTTGATCCAAGAAGAATGAAGTCCTTGACAACTTCAATCTTTTCTCCGTTGATAAGAATGTTGTTTATTGGTCCAGTGGTGAGGATTTTTGTTTTCTTTACATTGAGATGCAATCCATACTGAAGGCTGTGCTCCTTGATCTTTATCGGTAAGTATTTTAAGTCCTCTTCACTTTCAGTAAGCAAGGTTGTATCATCTGCATATTGCTGGTTGTTAATGAGTCTTCCTCCAAACCTGATGCCACATTTTTCTTCATAGAACCCAGCTTCTTGGATTATTTGCTCAGCATACAGGGTGAATAAGTATGGTGAAAGAATACAACCCTGTTGTACACCTTTCTTTATTTTAAGCCATTCAGCATTCCTATGTTCTGTTCAAACAAACTTCCTTTTGGTCCATGTACAGATTCCTTATGAGTGCAATTAAGTGTTCCAGAATACTCATACTTCGCAATGTTGTCCACAGCTTGTCATGATCCACACAATTGAAAGCCATTGCATAGTCAATAAAGCACAGGTAAACATCTTTCTGATATTCTCTGCTTTCAGCCAAGATCCATCAAACATCAGCAATGATATCCCTCATTCCAAAGCTTCTTGTGAATCCAGCTTGAACCTCTGGAAGTTCTCTGCCAATGTATGCTTGCATTCATTTCTGTATTACCTTTAGCAAAACTTTACTCGCATGGGATATCAAAGAGATTGTCCGATGATTTCCGCATTCCGTTTGGTCACCTCTCTTTGGAACGGGCACAAATACAGATCTCTTCCAATCAGTCAGCCAGATAGTTGTCTTCCAAATTTCTTGGCAGAGATGAATGAATGCCTCCTGTGCCGCCTCACTTTCTTGAAAGATTTCAATTTTTATTCCATCAATTCCTGGTGCCTTGTTCTTTGCCAATTCCTTCAATGCACCTTGGACTTCCTCCTTCAGTATCATTGGCTCTTGATCATATGCTACTTCTTGAAATGATTGAACATTAACCATTTTTTTTTGGTACAGTGACTGTGTATTCCTTCCATCTTCTTTAGATGCTTTCTGCATCATTCAATAATTTTCCCAGCGAATCCATCCATAACAAAAGTCGAGGCTTGAATTTTAGTGAGCTGAAATGGACTGTAATTATCCATTTTGAATTGACAATCATATGGTTTACTATTTTCAATAACCTCATATGCATGAGAAAGTTGGACAGTGAATAAGGAAGACTGTAGGAGAATGGGTGCACTTGAGCTATGGTGTTGGAGAAGAATATTAAAAATACCATGGACTGCGCAAAGAACAAACCAATGTATGTTGGCAAAAAGAACAGCCAGAATGTTCCCTGGAAACCAGGTTGGCCAGACTTCGTCTTCATACTTTGGACATATTGTAAGGCAGGACCAGTCACTGGAGAAGGTTATCATGTGTAATTACATGGAGGGTCGAAGAAAAAGAGGAAGACCCGCCCCCCCAGTGAGATGAAATAGCACGGTGGCAGTAGCAATGGACTCAGATGTAACAACAATTGTGAGGTTGGCACAGGACCAGGCAGTGGTGTGTTTTTTTTTACTTGAAAAAAGAATAACAATAGTTTATTGTGTTTGAGGTGAAAGTTCACACAACAGTTTACATTGTCATTCCACAATTTCTATACAAGTTGTTCAGTAACATTGTTTACATTCCTCACAATGTGTCATCATTCTCATTATTTTCACTCTGGTTTTTCTGTTAAGTCCTCTGAGTGTTAATTTGAGTATAGTTTGAAGAACATGACAGAAATGTTTGGAGGCAGGTAGGGACACTGAAGACAAAAAATACAAATGCCATTGTCTCCTGCCCTAAACCAGGTAGGTATTTGCAACCTGGATGTATCATGGCAACACAAGCAAGTAAGTGGTATCATCAGGTGGTGACTGTGGTTCCCAGAGGGGCACACATCCATCTACTGGGACGCACCCCAGATGACGGTCATCATCATATCTTCATGAACCCAGTGTTGCCAAACCTTCTGATTTTTTCAAAAGAACCCAGAAATCTGGCCTTTTTTTTCCCCAAAGACAGCCAAGCATCTTAATATTATTCCCCCCTTTTCCACATTCCAACCATGGCTTCATCTCTGTATTCCAGAACCCTGTTCTTCTCAC